CCCAATTTGGAAGGTTATAAGGTCATTAGGGTGGAGCCCTCATGAATGGGATTAGTGCCCTTGTAAAGGAGACTCATGAATGCTTCAGGCCGAGGCATTCATCCCATTCTCCCAGTTAAAGGAGATACCTTTCCATCTTTAGGACTTGCCCTAAGCCCAAAACAGTCACCTCACTCAGACAGCCCACATCCAGTGATTGGTCAAGGCCGGGCAACTCTGAGTTCAACTCCTCCCTCTGCGCCATCCCAGAGCCTTGGCACTTCTGAAGAAAGAGCAAAGGGGACCAGAGTGACCAAAGTATCACAGTATCACATTACTGCCCCTACTGGGGCTCTGACCAGGCCCAAGGTCTGGGGAGCAGTGGCAGTAGCAAAACCACTCTAAAGGTGAGAACTGAGTGACTTAGCCACCTGGGGTCTGCAGCAAGGAGCACTGGTTCTCAGCCCGCAGCCCCTTGTTCCTTTTTTAAATGTTTATTTAATTAAGTTTATTGAAATAGCACTGGTTAATAACATTGTATGTTACAATGCCAGTATTATAGAATATCTGCTCACCACTCAGAGTCTAGTCTCTTTCTGTTACCCTCTTCATCCTCCCCACCCCCCTTTCCCTCCAATAACCATTATACTGCATGATTGACATGCAAGAAGCTGTACATGTTTAATATATACAACCGGATGAGTTTGAAGATAAGTATATACCTGTGAAACCACCACCACAATCTATGCCATAAAAATATCTATCATCTCCCATTCTATTATTTTTTGTGATAAGAACACAACATACTATCTATCCTCTTTGCAAAATATTAGGTATACAATATAGTATTATTAACTATAGGCACTGTGTTGTACAGTACATCTCCAGGATTCATTCATCTCGCATAATGGAAACTTTGTACCCTTTGACTAATCTCATCCCATTTCCCTCCTCAGATGTATCTGAAGGACCTTATGCTAAGTGAAATAAACCAGACACAGAAGGGCCAATATTACATGATGCCACTCATATGAAGAATCTAAAATAGTCAAACTCATAGAAGCAGAGTAGAATGGCGGTTGCCCTTGTCCCCTGTCTTGATACTCAGCCAAGGTCAGGAAGGAAAGCCAGGTTCCAGCAGCTATGTTGGCAGGGACTCTACAGGGAGGCTTAATTTCCTTGTCCTTGTTATATTACCCTCTCCACACCTCCCGGGTCCTCCTGGGGTTAATGGCAGAAGATCCCACTGTTTTATATGGACAAACACACAGACAGGCAAACAACCAAGCCTGCCTGTCCAGTGCATGGATCCTCACCCTCAGACTCCCCTTCCTTGTCCCTAACCGTGCAGGGTCTCCTGAAAGCTGAGCCCAGGATGCACACATTTGCAGATCAGTAGATGTTTAAACTGATAACAAAGCCCCAGGTCGGTATTCTTCATCATTTTTAGACTCTGTAATCCCTTTCACTATTCATATCTTAACTGCACCCCCATGGAGTGTTTTTAATCATTTTTGTCATCTTTGCATTACAAAAATGCTATTAAGTATACCTCTTTGAGATAGTGCATATTTTGAATACTGCGCTCTAAGTTCATTTTTAATTAATTTTCAACAATATTCATTACAAGAAAGAGTAGTTTTGACATGTTCCCAATTAATTAATGCTACATGCTGTTTAATTTACTTAATTACATATGAAAGTATGTATGATTTACGGACAAGTAATTCATAATGATACCACATGTCTCTTAGACCCATAGGGCATCAAACATGTAGACCGAAGTTTGACTACGTGTTGTTGCATTAAAAACCGCTTTCAAGATTTATTGTTTAACTTTCAAAAAGCGCATTTATTCCTGTGACTTTTATATATGTCTCTAAATAAAACATAAGGTTTCAGATATAGTTTACAAGCATATCCCTATGGTTACCACAGTGCTGGGTTTAGATGCTTGGTTCCTTCAAAGATAAAAAGGCAAATTAGCCATAATCATGGCAGCATTTTTCCTTTGCCTATTGATTTGTAAATCACTAAGAACAACTCAGTGTTGAAAAAAAATGTGATTGAATAAATGTAAGATCTGGGGAAAATTCCTAAGAGATACATTTACAGAATAAGCAAGCAGCCTGCCTCTCCGCATTCACTGAATACAGCTTGACATTAAGCAACACGTGCTAGATCAGTCCACTGGCCCCCTGGATCCACCTCCCATCTTTCTCTACACCATGTCCTATTGTAAAAGTGACTTTTATGGATCGTCTTGACAGTGTCCCTTGTGATCTTGTTTCTACTGGGTTTGGCCACTAGAGAGTGGAGGTGACTGAAGTGGGGAATATTTATTCCCCAGCCCGGGGCTGGTTAAGTCTCACACCCCCTGTGAAAGCATTCCCCCTGTCTCCTTGCCTCAGACTTTATGTGACCATAGACCATAGCCCCCTGCCTCAGAGCTCTTCACTATGCCTTGGGTGTCTCTACACTCTGCTCACACATTTTAAATATTCTCTTTATTAAACATTCATCTAACTACACAATTTGAGTGTAAATATGCCTTCTCTTTTCTTCCTGGACCCTGTCTCTTACATAATGTAGGGCTATCAATGAAAATAATGTAAAACTACATAATGGTCATAAACATGGCAGCCTGTGATAGTCAGCAAATATTAAAGCGACTGAGCAATGGGATCATGAGCTCTCTCATTGAATATCCACTAAATGCCAAACACACGCAGCCAAACACATATTCAGGGCTGAAGAGAAAATCAGTCCAAATATGTACTTTATTGATGATTTTAAAAGTAGACATTGAAACCCCAGATATTCCTTAACCATAAACACTCCCTAAGTTTTGCTAAGTAAAATGATTATTTCACCCCATCCCAATGGGTAAATTAGAGAACAATATGTATAGTTCTGTGTGTAGTGTGTATGGGAAATTGTTTAAAAATCTCTGGATATGTAAGAAAGTACAACTTTACCAATGAAAATTATGCATCACACAAAAGTTTGAAATGAATTTTCAATCACTCCATCTGTAGATGCAAGTAGAGCTACTAACTTTCCTCTGATCCAGGGTTCAAGCCAGGATCCAGAGAAGGTTTAATCATCCACCAAGGAGATACAGGTCTCAGACAATCCCATGTCATAATTGCTTAAGTCTCTGGGAACTCGCGAGCAGCTGGGTCATACACACAGGAGGTAAATATCACAGTACTAGGTTAGGGGAACACACTGTGAGAGCTGGTATGGCTGACTTCCCCACGGAGAGCTGGGAGCGCTCCAGATGGTAGCCTGAGAACACGGGGCAGCAACTCAGAGCCCAGGGAGTCCAGTTCCTCCCGCCCAGTGGACCATGCCAACAGAAGACAAAGCCAGAGAAGGGTGTAACATGATACCAGGGAATACTCACCACAAAATATATAACGTTCATTGATTTTTCTTTTGATAAGATCCCTCCACCTCTATTACAGTTTATCATGTGTTGAGGTGGAGGCAGTTACTAGGCTGTCAAGAGAAGGTATTTTTCCAAAGTGAAGGACCTGTTCATCCAGATCCTTCCTACTCTTCGCACCTCCCATCTCAAAAGTGGCTGTGCCTATCTGTTTCTTTTCTCTTTTATACACCCCCCTCCCAACACACACACACACACACACACACACACACACACACACTTTTGTGGGAAAGCTGTAGAAAGTCTGCAATGCCCTAAGTAAGGGTAAACCTACAAGCGCAGTGCCACACCAGAAAGGAAAGGGGTAGATGGACCCAAGGAAGCAAGGCCACAGAAGAGTGGAGGGCTGAGCAACTTGTCCACGGCCATGTAAATGGCTGGTAAGATTCAGTCCACTCCCCCTTCCTCCTCATCTTCATTTCACCTGCTCCACCTTTCAACCTATTTCATCTGTCCTCTTTACAGGCTAGAAAGGAAGTAACTGAGAATCACTGGGTTAAACTGGAGAAGATGATACTAGTTAGAATGGAGGGCCATAGCCTTGAGGGTAAGGTGTGTAGCCTTGCAAAGCACAAGGGGGTAACCAATGGCAACAAAATAATGTTTTCTTTCCAAGCACTGTACAATCAGCAGAATCAATAAAACCTTTTCCAAGTCTCACTCACTCTCAACCCTCCTACCTCAGGCAGCCAGTAGTTCCTTGTATCCCTCTATTGTCAAAATGCCATACTGGTCAGCTCACCACAGTGCCTGACCCAAAGGAGTCACATGGACAAATAAACAAACTGGGGGTTGTTAATTGATGAGGAATATATTCTCCCAAATTATATTGCTCTCTACCAAATCAAAACGTCCCTTTACTGGGTCCAGCTTACTACCGATGTAAGCTGGACTCAGTAAGAAAATAATCTTTGTAGCATGATTCACCACAAGTTTAACCTTCCCATACAGGCCTTTCGTTCCTAAAATGAGTCTTTGTACATTGCAAAAAAAGAAAATTCCATAACCCAAATCTGTTGGGTTCAGTAGCATGTAGAATTCATGGAGTTTCATAGCATGCCAGTCATACTAAAAGAAACAGTAGACATAAATAATACATATGAGAAGGGTATCCAGTAACTGGATAATATCCTATGGTAGCAATACATTTCTTGCTTCATGCTATGTTTCTGCTCAGTTGCAATACTATATCAACAAAAGTCGTGTTATTTAACACACCATTGACTTTCTGTTGCTGATCAAAGATGTATGGTGGGTCAGCAGTCTTCAGAAGGGGGTTTTAACAAAATAGAAAGTGTTTTCGAAACTATTAACAATGAAATTCACCACAAAAGTATATCCATCTCTCTTAAAATTTGCTAATTCCTTGTATTAAGACCTCTGACTCTTGCAGTGAGTTCTAGAACAACTAAGATACCTCTTTAAAGGAAAGGGGAGTTGGAGAAATAAGGCCGTTTGGAAGGAGGTGGCATACTGAGCACTGGATTTGGGTGATGGGACTCATCTACCTCGGGTGCTTGCAAAGGCCTGAGGAGCCTCCTGCTGTGGCCGTGGGTGCCCAGCCCCTTACCTTACCACACTGCTTACACTTTCCCTCCTGCCGACGCCTGTGCACCCAGTGATGACGCACAAAATTCTGTGGAAAAACAAAATAAAAGAAATCTATTTAAATTTGCAAAACCAGTATTAGGGTTCTTGTTTTAAGGATATAGATTTCTGTAAACCATCATCTAAGACCACATTAACACAAAAACAAGTAGGTGTATGTGTGATTTGTTTAACAATAAATATGGATCCATTCAGAAAAATTAAGCTAACTCTGCTCCCCAGCCATGCATCCTGTCCCTCCTCAACGTCTTGCTAGTGACAAATGGCCACACCAGGTCACTGCTACTCTCCTCTCCTCCTAGTAAAACCCTGTGCAATTGTGAGCATGCCACGGGACCTTGGGCTGGGAGGTAACTGAGGCAGGTCAAAAAAATATCCTGAGAGAAGCGGGAATAACCATGTCCAATATTTTTTTAACAAATATGTATTTAATGCTTCTTTATATGCCAAGCAGGCACCATACTAAACATTTGAGCTGGAAAGCACTTAAAAAAATTAGATTCTCAGACAGAAATAGATCTCCTGACTCAGGACACAAATGGTGGGAATCTGTTACTAGTGAAAGTGAAGGAAGAGAAAAGCTGAAGGACAAGAGATGTGAGCACGTCGTGAGTTTTTGCAATGACCTTGAGTTTAAACTGTCCTTGGAACCTCTGAACTAGATCTCCTTTCAAGCTCTATTCTTGTCTTGGGTTGTGGGAAACACGGAAAGTCCCTTCCCTCCCAAACAGATAAGTACTCCTGGGGCAGAGAGGTCAAGGAGCATCCATCACCACTGCTCTTAGGATACATCATAACAAAGTTGTCTTCAGGCCTAATTCATGGTGCAGGTGAACCCTAAAAGCTTATATAATTGACTCTCCTTGTGAATGTCTTTTCTCCTGCCCTTTTCTGAAAAAAATGTACTCTATCTGAGATTAACATGTCTGTTGGTTATCAGGCCACAGCCCATGCTTTCCCTTTAAAAGGCCTTTTAATGTAGACTCAGTCATTCAGCAAACACTAAATACCTACTGTCTGCCAAGCACTGTTCTAAGTACAGAGGAACACAGAAAATAGATCAGTGTCGAGCAAAAATGAGTTGTATTAAGGCATAAAATCCAGAGTGACAAAAATACCCCTAAAGAGCATTGACATTATCAATTCCAAAATGCCACTTCTATTTCTCTATCTAATGCCAAATCCATTTAAATTAAAACTCAACAAAGATCCTGGGGGAGTAATAGTCTTTTAACTATAATAAGAAACAATGAAACATAATGGTCCCACTAATTAGTCTAATTTTGGTCTTGCTTTTCCCACAGCAGCAGTTTAATAAAACACAAACATAATTCATATATATATATATATATATACTCAGAAAGAAGCTAATAATAATAGCTAACATTTGTTGAGAACTGTGTGCCAAGTACTTTTTAAAATATTTCACACGTGATCATTCTTTTCGTTTTCATGAAGACAGCTGAGGTGTTGTTGAGTGGGTATGTGCCAGTAAAATCCTATGAGCTGTTGAAATACTGAAATATGTCTATGTTGGTGGGTAGGCTGTAACTTAGTGCCCCTAGCATCCCCCAGCTCCTCTTCAACTGCCATAGCACCCTCCACCCCACCCTCTCACAAGGCAGACCACTTCTACTTCCTCATTATTAAGCAACTAAAATGTTAATATTTTGCAGGTCTCCAGGATTCAATCCCAATGGGCTCTCTTTCAAAAACAAATCACGTTGCCTGGGCCATGCCCTTGGATTCCCCCAGGACACTCAGACGTCTGGGCTGTGCCCAATGTGGTTGTCTGTGCAAGCTTAAATATCAATACAGGCAGTTCTGGGTCCCATGGCCTTCAGGACAATGGCAGCAAGTCCAGGAACCTGTCTAGCTATCAGTGTCCACAGCATCAGTTCAGTGCAAACACTACTGGGGACGAAAGTACTGAACTCGCCACCTCTGCTCCCCAGGTGAGGCAGACCTCCTCAGCCTTCCACCTGCTTAAGTGAGAAGAACAGAACGTTAGCCTACTGCCTGTTAAAGGTAAAGGCCGGGGGAGACAAGGGCCCGCTGCCAATGGTGCTACATCCTAATTCACAATATTGCAGGGCACATTATCAGGGGGTTGTACCTGAATTATCATATGATCCTCACCTAACAGATGAGGAAACTAGAGCACAGAGTAGTTACTTAAAATGTAAGGGTCAGAGCAAGGCCGCAATCCCAGGCAGGCTGACCCAGAGCCTCTGCTCTGAAACACAGGGTCACGGCGCCTCTCCTTTGCTCTGGAAGATCAGGTTCAAGCTCCAGGGAATGACTTCAGTGACATTTGGAAATATTGGAAATACTGAGTATATTAAACAGTGGAAATACTGAATATATTAAAATGTCAGACAGAATTACAAGGGATATAGAAATGTATTATAACTGCTATTAGTTTAGCAGAAACAAGGGAGAATGAACAATATCATTGATGGTAAGAGAAATTCTCTACTTGTTGTGATTATAAACCACCTACTGACTATCCATTGAAGAGGAAAACACTGGAAGAATTTGCCAATTACCCATGTGAAATCATGGCTAACTCTTGGGAATATTTAGCTGCTGACAGCTCTAATCAAAAGATTAAACCAGCAATTTCCACAAATCAATAATTATTTGCAAATTATAAGACTGACTTATCTGTGTGACAATGTATATTGTTTGGTAATCTGATATATAATATCATGTAGTTTAGTTTATTTAGGGGATAAGTGAGGACATTTTAAAATTATTTAAATATTAACATATATAACTGCATGTTGTTAAATATTTTTAATATCATCCTTCCTAGGAAATAGGTAGGCAACTAAAAAAAAAAATAAAGACACAGTAAGATAAAGTAATTTAAGCAAAAGTTCTGAAGGGGATAATACCAGTTATTATACTAAATATAGAGTATAACATACTATGTATACTAAAGAAGAAACTGAATAACTTCCCCCTGTCTATGGCTCTATAATTTGAGATGTCAACATCCTTCTATTCAGAGGCCTCGCTGGGCCTAATATAAATTTCTTTTACCACCAATTAAACATAATTTGAACAAAGTAAACATACAATAAATATGTTTTGAGTTGAATAAAATTCTCAACCTCATTTCTTTGGCAATTCAATTATGTAATTACCATTATGAAGGATCACCAATTGCCTTTATCAATTAGAAAAAGAATTCTACAGAATCACTGCTGTTTTCTAATACGTATTTTCCAAGAACTTTAATTTTTCACAGTACTCCTTTTTGACACCTATATCTCCTAAATTAATAAACTGAAATTAGACTCAGGATCCTTCCACTGCAAATATGAGTGTTGATACACTGTTAAGAAGATAGCAAAAAAAAGCTTCTGACACCATAACATCTTTTTATAGTTCATCAATAAACTCTGAATTATTCATATACTGTCTTTAAACACTGGGTATAGAAAGGGCTATTACTTATGGGTGTTAAAATCACAGTGACACAGTATTTCAGGATTTATATTCAGTATTGTAAGCAGAAATGCATAACACAATTGCTCAGTTATTTTCACATAGCCAATGCAATTCATAATATTATTCATAGAGCACTTTGAAGGATCTTAAAATTATAAGCCAATACATATAGCTTATGTCTAAGAAAACTGAGGTCCACAAAATTTCAACTTAGAGCTGTCCAACCATCACTCATGAAAAAACTTCTGTGTCATATACTCTGCAAGCAAAGGGCACAGTGACTATCAATCCCTGCCCTGGATCCCTGCCCTGAATCCCTGCTCTAACCACTGAGTACAAAAGACGCAGAGGTGTCATTCACATTCTAAAGTGGCTGTTCTTTTATTTACATTAAGTAAACTACTTAAGTTCTCTTAATTAAGAATCTCAAATGGGTCATAGTCTCTTATAAATTTCATCTTCCCATTGTCCTCTTAGACCAAGAGATTGTGAACATTTGGGGGCGAAATGGACACCTTTATGAAAGCATTCCGTCAACAGGTATTGGTTGATCACATCCTCCGTGTCCTGGCATGATGAGTTTGGGACACAGTCCATGAGTGACCTCCCAAAGCTTATACTACAGAAAGACGACAGCAGACAAGTGAGTAATACGTATAAATACTGTGACACATAACGTGCTCTGAATGGGGCAGAACAAGGTGCTCTGATAAAGAACAGGGTGTGGCCTGTGCAGAGGTGGTCATTAAGGAAGACCCTGAGATGATATTTGAGCTGAGGCCTAACTATAAGAAACAGCTGGCCATGCAAAGAGATGTTCAGTACAGCAATGCCATGCACAAACATCTGAAGATGGAGACTAGCTGGACGTGCACCTCAAGAACTGAAAGGAAGTCCTTGTGGGAGATGGGTGGGTGCGGGAAACTACTGGAGAATTTTAGGCTGAAAAAATGATATAACCCAATTTTCATTTTAAATAATCACTCTCTTATATCATGGTAGATTGAAGGAGAAAATGAAGGAATTATGGAGAAGCGACTGCAGTGGTCAAAGTCAGAAATGGGGGTAAAGAGATGGTTTGCAATACATTTTATAAAGAAAATTGATAGGGCTGGCAAGTGAAACAGATGTGAGTCCATAAGAGAAGAAATCAATATGACCAGTCTTCTCGATTGAACAGCTGGATCAATAGCCATCTCATTTTCTGAGGCATAAAAGAATTTTTTAAAAATCGTTTTTAAGATGATGGAAATGAGCTTAGTTTTTATGCATTGTATTTGATATGATTGTGATGCATTCAATGGGCATGTCAAATGGAACATGTAGTGTGGAGTAGACATGCAAAGCCAGGAATTGTCAGCCCAGAAGTGATATTTAAAGCCATGAGATTGGGTGAGCTCTTCCAACAAGAGTGGGCAGAGAGAAAACATGGCCAAGTACCAGCCCCAGAGGAAAAGGCAGAAATCAGGGGGAGTGAGCAATGAAAGGGAGTGGGAAGGACAACCCAGTGAAATAGAGGACAGTTAGGAAAGATGTCAAGACAGGAGAGCATTTCAAAAATAATGGAACATTGAACATTTTGAATACATTTGAAGGATTGAATAACAAAAGAACAGAAAAATATCTAATGGGTTTGGCATCAGTGAGATGTTGGCAACATTCAAAGAGCAATTTCAGTGAATTGAATTTCACAGAGTGAAAACCAGATCAGAACAGGTTAAAATGACTAGGAGGGGACATACTGTTTATATATAACACACTTTCTGGATGTTAGCCATGAGCACAAAACTGAGAATCAGAGTTGTGGATACAGTTGGTGGTTAAGGAATATTTTCATTGGTTTTAATGAAATGGGGTTTATTAGAGCATGTTTATGCTGACAAAAATAATCTGGAAGAAGGGGTGAAAATGTAGGAAAGGAATAAACATCAAGTCCTTGCTAAGAAGATGAGAGGTTTCCAAAACACTCATGGAGATCTGACTTCGCAGAAGAGAAGGGACACAGTTAGTGAAAACTAAAAACAAACAAAAAATACATGCATTAGAAAACTGCACATACAATAACAATTATCTATGCAGAAAAAAAGAGATTAAAGAACAGAGAGCTAAAGGTAAACATATGAATCCCTGGTTTTTAAGGTAGAGTTTATGAATTCTAAGACAGAATAAACCAGTTAATTCATAAACTCTACCTTAAAAACATACACCTATGCCTTCTACTATCCTTTCATTCTATGAAATTTATCCTTCATTTGCGTTGTCATCAAGTTACCTCCTGGTCAATGCTACAGTGCACGTGGGCACAATCCATCATTTTCCGTAGACTTTCCTCACCCTATGTATGACCCATAGCCTGGAGCTACACTATCCCAGATAACACAGGAAGGCTGACTGCCTCCACCAACATTCTTGTCTTCTCTAACTACATACACTGCTCCATCGCCTCTAAATAAAGGGTGTCCCAAAATTCACGCAAGAAGTAATTTTGATAGAAAACACAGGTTGATAATTAAAAATTGTAAATTTTTTATTGATTCATAAAGTATACAGTATAGGGTTATGTATGGAATAGCATATCAGGTAAACAGCCTCCATGGCTTTGCTAGCACATACGCACTCTTTTGTTATTGCCTGAGCAGCCACATTTTCGAAGAATAATGGTCCGATGATGCCTCCAGCCCAAAATCCGCACCAAACAGTGACACGTTGTGGTTGCATTTGTTTCTCAACAATCACTCATGGATTTTCTGAACACCGAATGCAACAATTTTGTCAATTAACTAAGCCATCAAGATGAAAATAAGCCTCATCGAAATTCAGCCACATTTATGCAAAACGGTCATGGAAAATTTCAACAAAAGAGTGCGTATGTGCCAGCAAAGCCGTGGAGGCCATTTACCTGATATGCTATTCCATACATAACCTTATACTGTATACTTTATGAATCAATAAAAAATTTACAATTTTTAATTATAAACCTGTGTTTTCTATCAAAATTACTTTTGGCGTGAATTTTGGGACACCCTTTAAAAGTTGAACAAATATATCTGAGTGCAGCTCTCATCCTGTCCTCACTTCTGCTTACTGCTAACATGCAGTACTGCTCTTCTCTATAATTTCCTATTTACCTGTTTGTCTCCACTACCAGACTGAAAGGTCAGGGACTGAGCCCTGGATGTAGTCAGTCAGTCCTTCCTTCCTTCCTTCCTTCCTTCCTTCCTTCCTTCCTTCCTTCCTCCCTCCCTCCCTCCCTCCCTATCTCTCTATCTATCTCTCTATCTTTCACCTATCTCCCTATCTATTTAGCCATCTATCTATCATCTATCTATCCATCCATCTGTCTGTCTGTCTTCCTATCTATCTATCTATCTATCTATCTATCTATCTATCTATCTATCTCTGTATCTCCCTATTTATCTCTCTACTGATCCATCTATCTACTTACTTATTCATTTAACAGATGAAAACACTGAGATTTTGAAAGATTAGATGAGATGTCCAAAATCACACAGCATCAAGGCTTATTTTGAATCTAGACAGTCTGATTCCTTTGTTTATAGGAATTATCAGTAGCTATACTGCCCCCAAGGAGCTTCTACCCATTCAAAATTGAAAAATCAAATTAAAATGGACCTAAAGACAATAAAATGCCATTGCTTTCTTACCTTTTCAATTCCATCACTGCGCCCTCCCCTACTCTCAGGTGCATTCAGTAAGACTTTAGCTCTCTGCACATTCTGTGAGAAGAAACCTGGGGATTTTTATTCACTGTATTTGTTGATGTATCAATAAAAAGCTGATGTAAAATGAAGGGAGATACAATTTTTGTTTTAATTTTTAAGTATTTTTTATTGATTTTTAGAGAGAGAAGGAAGAGGGAAAGAGAGATCGAAATATTTATAAGACAGAAACATCATTGATCAACTGCCTCCTGCATGTCCCCTTCTGGGGATCGAGCCCACAACCTTGGCATGTGCCCTGACAGGGAATCAAACCGTGACCTCTTGGTTCCTGGGTTGAACCCAACCACTGAGCAACACCAGCCTGGCGATACACTTTATTTTTAATACCTGGTGAATATCTTTAAGTCCAGTTAATCAATGGGAAATTAAAGCTGGTATTTGAAATAGAGCTCTGAAATACTCACTTCTCTTGGTGATCTGGAGCCCCCTTCTCGAAATGTTGGTTTACATCTGAAATTAATCTGCCATTTAAAAAGAGAAGTGTATTACATTAGGGATAGGCATCATATTGGAATGAGTTACCTGAATAAACCAACATGTGACAGATATTGAGACGACAAAACAAGCCCCTCAAAGAATGAAGAACAAAGTTTAACACTATTTTTAGTCTTTTGAAATAATCACCTTAGATAATCTACAGAAATCCCAAGTTATTCTATACCTCCAATCCATGCCTCTTCATTCTCACTGATGACATCAACATATTTTTAAACAATAAAGATAATAAAGAAATGGAGATAATAAAGAGTCAGGGGAAAATATAAGGCAGCTGAAATCATCCATCTGCATTTCAGATTTTAAAAGTAGAAAAATATAAACTTAGTAAATTTTTAATACGATAATGATGATACACACACACCAAAAAAATAGTATTTATTGAAGTATTCAGTATTAGACGGGGAGGTCTCCTGGTCATTTACAGGCGAAAGGAGCATAGAAATGAAAGAGGAAAAGAGTTGGGACATGAGATAAAATATTTAGTAGTCATTCCTACAAAATATCAGTTGGCAACAATTGGCAATGTGTCTTTAAAGCTCACAGCAGATTAAAATAATTCAACACATTTACCCATGGCAGCTCAAGAACACAGATAAAGCAGAGACTCACACGCAGAAATGGAAATGGAGAAGGAGGCACGAGAGGGGAGAGGACAGCAGACAGCTCTCTATTGGGGCCTCTCCCTCCCCCCAGATGACAGATAGATAAATGGACTATGCAGACTCCACTGACTCTGGATGCCACTTCCAGCCCCTCCCACATATGAACCTGTGAGTAGGAACACTGGAAGCAAGGAACTCAGAATTGCTTTCTGGCTTGGTTCTCTCCCTTGCCGGCACTTTATAGGAAGACATAAACTCACAGAGGTCAGACGTATGTAAACATTGAAGAGTTTATGGAAATTTTTTTTCTTTAAGAGAAAACATCTTGTGGGAGGTTCTATGGGCGACTAACGATGCTTGCTGTTGTGAAGAATATCATGCCCACCAGGCTTTTCTCTCACCTTATCATTCCTTCTCCCGAGTCAACATAAAATGATATGAAATTATGCTTCAGAAAACAACAGAGAGAATGAACCTTAAGCACTATCTTTCCATTTTTAATCTGGTAAAAATGTTGGACTTCCAGTTTCCTAAAAGGGGGTTTGCTTTCAAGAAGTTGGAAAAAGAAATTGACACCTGGTCTCAGAAGTCCCAACACTTGCAAGGTATCAGATTTTGCAGCAGGTGGCGCTGTCTCACCTTTTCTAGCTGTTCGATGCAGGCGGTGTGGACCACGATTTTACAGACTGCACACTTCCTCCTGAGGGCAGATTTCTACAACATTCAATTCAAAATACAAAAAGAAATGTTAGCATTCTGTTCTAAAGAGAGTATATGCAAATAAAGCAAACATTGCAATTGTTTATATTACTAAGCAATATAAGGTGAAATTTAAATTTCCACCGTAATCATTCAACAATATGGCTAACTTCATCAACAATGCTTGGATCCACCAAGTAGCTCCATATCCCCATGACTTAGGGTGGCCTAGATTTTCCCTTCAAAACATAATAATTATACTAGCTACTATATATTGAATATATAATATAAACCAAGCTCTTTATTCTAAATTTCATAACCTAAAAATGTAGACATTATTATCCTTCTTTTATTTCCTTACATTTTTACTCTAGTAGATAGGGGGCAAGACCAACCAACATTTAAAGTTAGGTGTAATTTCAAACCAAGCATTCTTTCCCTGCTGCCAAAGAGACTGCATTTCAAGAGGTCAATCAATTTAGGCTTCTATCCCAGGCACAAATTTATACTAAGCTACTTGGGTTTCTGCCCAAATCTTCAGGAAAGCAAGGAGATAAGTCTAACTTTTACACACAATAATAATAACAATAATAGTTATAATAACAGTAACAGCAGCTTACATGGATTTAATACTTACTATCTGCCATGGGCTCTTGTAAGCACTTCACAATTAGTAACTCATTTAATCCTCACAACCCTAAGGACTAGGTACTGTTCTTAGTCCCATTTTACAGATGAGAACACTGAGACACCATAAGTGATATGCCCAGGGTCACACAGTTAGGGTCCACAGAGCCAGGTAGTCTGACTCCAGAGCTCCTGCTTATAAGCATTACACAATTTGACCTGGCAGTCAGTACCAGCTTAAATTCGCAATAAAAATACTTGTTGAGGTGTATCTTTTCTCTAACAATAAAAAAAAAGGCAGCAGAGAGAGAGAGAAATGGGTGGAATCCAGATTTACTCCTGCCAGTGCCATGTAAAGTCTAAGCTAGGAATGCTCAGGCCTCTTTCCAGAGCACAGATGAGAAGGCGGCTCTGCATAAATGATTCTGTGGTTTGGGGACCGGAAGGAACTTATTGTAACAAAGCCCGTCTGTGAAATAGTCTATCAATGCTTCCCAGTGAGAAAGGCCCTGCTCCCCACCCTTAAGGGCGGTGCTAGTGTAGGTTGCCACCACCTCCCCACTTCTGATGTGTGGCTTCCCCGGTTGGTTGAGGTATTATTTTGGCGCCACCTGTGGCAGGGAGAGAGAAGGAATAGATAGCTCCTGCCAAGGAGAGGACGAAACAACCACCTTGGAAGGGGGCAGTCTCAGAAAAGAAACTGTAGCCTCCTGCCTCCCTGGTGGCGCTTCTCATGGAACACAGGCCATCCACAGTGTCATCAGCCACCAACCAAGGACCCGGAACACTGCCGTACTGCAGCGACTAAACTCCCAGTCCACAGTCTGCACCCCGCTGACCGAGGTTTAGTTAACCTGCTTGTGGCGCAGTAATTTCTCCTGGCCTTCTCCTCCCCGAGAAAAGAAGGTAGGTAGTCGTCAATGTTAAATCAGTTTGACATCAATTGATTTTGCTAATAACAGAAGACAAGAAACACTCAAGCATCTAGCTACACTACTGAAAGGTGTCTCGGCTCTACCACTAAAAAGAAAGGGGGGTAGGGGGAAGATGAACAAGAATAAGTAGTAGTAATAGTAATATTAGTAATAATAGCAGTACTAGCAGCAACAGCAGTTGTAACAGCAGTAGCAGCATCATTCACAGCAACAATAATAAAATTCTAGTTTGCAAATTTTCATGAGTGGAGTGCCCATAAGGAAATGACTGTTGCTCTCCTGTTTCCTCTGGCTCTCCTGGTGCGGATTGCTGTCGCAGCACCACCTGCAGCAAATGCATGGGGTACTGGAGTCACATTGCTAATCAGAGTGACAGTGATGCTAAGCAAACTAGAATTGACTGCAGTCTACTCATCAGCCACAAAACCCCTGGTAGATTACACTGCGGACAGCACAGGAGGCCACCAGTGATGGGCTGTGATTTAAGGATGCCTGAAAAGCCTCCTTCCTTACCAATCACTCCTGCCCTGCTCTAGCTCTGTGCCTGACCTTGTGCTCGGCATTACGTTCTCTGGAGCTCCAGGAACTTGGTGAGGCTTCTATAAAGTCACTGAGGATGGTGGGAAGGGCACTGAGCAGCTCAGGGACCCACTGGCATCCACTGAAACCCGGACATCTCTTCCTTGCCTGTGTCCAATATCGGGCTTCCTATCCAGAAATTGTGAATTATGGATCTGGGCTGGAAGAGTTTGAAAACTGCTGTGTTAACTATTATCTGTCCACTTATTAGTGTACTAGAGGGGGTCCCACGGCCTGGCCTGCAGGGATCAGTGGACCTCCGCACCATCACAGCCCGGCCTTACCCGCCAGCTCATAGGGCTCCAGCCCACTGTCTGCATTGATCCCGCACAGCATGTAGTGCCCCAGGCTGGGGAGGAGCCCTAGCCCAGGCTGGGCTCTGCGCCTGCCAGGCACTTAGGGGGAGTGTCCACAGGAGAGGCTTGCACAGTTGCAGCTGCGTTCGCCAGCTGTCAGCCCAGTGTCTGGCACCTGTCAGCTGAGAGCACTCCCGCTGTGGGAGCACACTGCCCCCTGGTCAGTGCATGTCATAGCTACCATCCGGTCACTTAGGCTTTTATGTATATAGATTAGTAAATACACTAATATCATTCATATGGAACAACTCAAGTGCAATGTTCTACAGATGACAACATATGAAGTAAAGTGCCTTAAGTTGTAAAACTAATTGTATTTAAACAATATTGAATTTTTTTAAAAAAAACCCCTTATTTCTGTGACCTTTAAGGCAGAATAAATAGTCCATCATCTGAATTTTTCTCCATAAACACTAATGCATTTTACTACAACAGTCATTTTTCTCTTTCCTGTCCTTTTATCAGACTCGATATCCTTTCAATGTTGCTGTGACCGCCTTTGGCTGCCCTCAAATTTCTAACTGGCATTTTATAAACAGTTTATAACCTGAGAAACAAATAATTAAGGTTTATAATCATATGCAAAATTAAGTAAATACATTCAGAGTTAAGGTCTTAGGTTTTTCTCCCACTTAATAAAAGCATGGATTTTAGTTCCTCAAGTGAATTTAGTTCCTCTGGTGAATCAGAAGTCTTAACTGTTGACTTCCTCTCCTGGTTTATGACTGTATTTCAGCTGATCAAAGTCATTCAAAGTAGCTGTATAATAAGCTTCCAGGCAGAAATTGCTCAAAACATATAGAATTTTTGTGCTTGGTTATGTTATAATTTTTAGTTGCAAGATTAAAACTAAATAAAAAGATAAAATACAGGAATCAAGACATTCTAAATACTGCAAGCACTCACTTTTTCATAGAAAGCTCTGATTTCAGCCAACCCTTCCTTCACTATGAAAAGTGACATATATCAAGAAAAGTCTTTGCCGAAACCAGTTTGGCTCAGTGGATAGAGCGTCAGCCTGCGGACTGAGGGGTCCCGGGGTTCGATTCTGGTCAAGGGCATGTACCTGGGTTGCGGGCACATCCCCAGTGGGAGATGTGCAGGAGGCAGCTGATCGATGTTTCTCTCTCATCGATGTTTCTAGCTCTCTATCTCTCTCCCTTCCTCTCTGTAAAAAATCAATAAAATATATTTTTTAAAAAAAGTCTTTAAAATTAATTCAGCAGGTTGGTTGTTATCCTTCATATTGGGGCTTAGTTGTTATAGAACTTAGCACAAAAACATAATTTAAACAATAAATATGGCCTGGGACCCAAAAATGCTTAAAAATTAAAATTATAAAAATTTAATAATTTACTCTCACTGATGAATTTAAAGACCAATTAGGCTCAGTGCTTTAAATATCAAGTAAAGTAACCTGAGTGCCTTTCTAAGGGTTTCCTGATTTTGCCAAAGGAAATCCATTAGTTTGTAATCATGGGGGAGGGCACTTCTGTGATAACTAGCAATATAGGATGTAATATAGATCATATCCTATCACATCATGACCAATCTTTACCTAAATAATAATAATGGAGTGATATGCCATGCTTTAGGATGGTGGGCAAACTAACTAGCAGACCTTGCAGTGTTTGTAAGAGAGAACATTCAAGTTTTGACTTGGTCCTATACGTTTCCCACGCTGTGGTCATTGCTGGTTTCAAAGCAGTGACAGCTCCTCGCCAACCTTCAGCTCATATCCAGCACGGGAGTAGGACTGTCACAGCCTTAGATGGCTGGGGCTGGGGCCAAAAGGATCAGAGGCAAGCAGGGGTAGAAAGTAGATAACTGTTGCTGATGAAGAGTTTACTGTCTAATCCTCTCTCACCCACCCACTTCCTTTGGTCACAAGTCACTGATCCAAACGTACCACCAAAAAAGCTATTTTTTCTTTGTTTGAACAAGAGATGTGATTTTTGCTAAGTAGCAATGAGTATCCGATGGTAGTTAATGTGGTTTGTTTGTTAGAAAGAAAAAGAGAAAGGAGGGAGGAGAAGAGAGGAAGGGAAACCTAGATTCATAAACCTATGATTTGTGAAAGTATTTGGGTCTCCTTGCTGCCCAGGGTAACTGATGTTGATTGTCATCCCTAATAGTCTGAAGTTTGACCCCAAGAAGCATGTACAAGGCAGGCACACCTCCACACCTCCACAGAGTTAATCACCAGAGATCAAAAGTGGAGAAATAGGAGGAAATACTTAGCCCTCCGAGCCAGCATGGCAACCCTTTCTTAGTTTCCCAGTCTCAGGAGAGCTCAGAGGCCAGAGCCTGCTGCTGGCAGAACCAAGTTTGGGGCTTGCAGCATCTCACTCCAGGCAGAATTTCCAAACTTTGAGCTCCCAGAACTAATGCAAGGAGTGACTCTTCCATTAGTCCCACCCCTATGATGAGACCACAGTGATAGAAAATGAATGGCCAGAGGCTTTAGGCAGGAACTCAATCAAACTGGAATTGGGGGAAGATGTGGAGAAGGCACTCT